CTACCCACCGTATCCCAGGGTAGCCACAGATAGACGTTCTGCCTGTCCATCAATCATCTGGCACTGTAACAAACAGCAGAGATAATCAATTTAGGGAGAGAAAAATTTCGTGTTGACTCATACGCTTTAGGGATTCCATCCAGTGATTGGCTGATAACTCCCTACTCAGAGCCTGAGTGATATTTCATGGTGGGAATGTGGGATGGAGAGAAAGAGATGAGGGATGAGACTGTGGTCCCTCCATCTCCTTTGAGGACAAACCCTCAGTACTCCCCAAACTTCTCACTGTACCCCATTTCCTAAAGGTTCCACGGCCATTAACACAAAACCCTTTAGAAGATCTGCTTGAATCTCATGCAGGCTTTTGCTTCATATTTGTGCTGAAATTTCCTTTGTTGAACACAAGCTGGGAATGGCAGGCACAAAGGCCATGTCTTTCTCCTAGGGGGGCAGACCTTAGTCTCTACCCTAATACCATCCACACTGAGTTTTTCACAGTGTGCCCTTTGAGAAATTTTCCTTTTATTCCTGGTGTGTGAGTGTGTGTGTGTGTGCATGTGTGTGAGTGTGTATATATATGTGTGAGTATGTGTACATGTGTGTGTGTGTGCATGTGTGTGTGAGTGTACATGAGAGTGTGTATGTATGTGTACATGTGTGTGTGTGTGCATGTGTGTGTGAGGGTGTGCATGTGTGTGTGTATGTATGTATGTATGTGTATTGCTGGCTGTGACACACATATGGTTTTTTTTCCACCATGTAGTCCCTGGGAACTGAGCTCAGGTCATCAGGTTTAATAGCCGGAGCCTTTACCCGCTAAGCCATCTCGTCATCCTGTGTTACATTATTTAAGTTTCAAGTGTGAAGTAACTCACCATTTTTGGTATAAACCCCACTTAGTTATGTTATAAAATCTCTTCATATATCAAAGATTCCTTGTGCCTAGTTTTGGTTGAAGATTTTTCTGTCTATCATTGTGAGATACTGGTATAGATTTTTCTGGTGATATCTGTTTTTAGTATCAAAGATCATACAATATTAGACTTAAGAAAGAACAAGAATACTATTTTTTCTTTAACTTTTTTGGTAAGAGTTTAAGAAGAATTGATACTGTTTTATTTGTAAGGGCTTGTGGAACTCACTGGTAAAACTGTCTAGACCTGGGACTTTCTATGCCGGTAGCTCCTAGCTCTTAATTTAATATCTTAGGAGAATACTCACTTTTTTTAAATTTCTTTTTAAATCATTTTTTTCCAGTTTGTATTTATTTCCTTCACATTATCTGCCCTGTCGGCACATGGAGGGCCAGGAGCTCTCCACGTTCCTTAGAGTCTTTTTACTTTTGTAAGGCCCAGCCAGTTTGTCTCCATTTTATCTCTGATGTTTAGCAATTCCCATGTTACCACCTATTTGTGTAGCTAACATAGCTAAAGATATGTTGATATTTTTAAATTTTAAATGAACCAACTTTGAAGATTTTTTTCTTTGGATTCTCCATTGTTTATCAATTGCACCATAAATCTAAGGGCCTCCTGCCTCCGTTTTCACATCGCTTGACTTCACACAGTTCCTCACACTGACCCTATGATGCCAGTGGACACAGACTTCCTGTTTTTCTTACATTTTCTTCTTTCCATATGGCCCTGCCTTGGGACCAACAAACCTTCCATCCATTTGCCATCTGGCCAACCCCAGTCCTCCACAAGATGTTCCTTGGGCTCCAGACAGAGTCATTTGCCCCAGTGGATCCTCCTACCTTTTTCTGTCACTGGGTAACAACATGTGCTATGTGGACCACACTGAGTCCACTCTTGGGCTTTTGGACCCCAGACTGCTCCTCAAGGATCCTCTTGGGTAAATGCTACGTTTGCTGTATCTATGGGGGTGTTCCATCGATATGAGGTAGATAAATGATTTTGAGGTAGAACGTTATTGTTTACAACTCGGGTTGGAGCCATTCTGTTTGAAGCTGGGGATGGAGTTATGGCCTCAGACCTCTCTCTCACTGAACTGCACATCAGACTTCACACCCCTTGAGCACCCCACTCCTGCTCTTCTTATGTGCTTCTGCAGGTCAGGAGGAAGAAGCAACTCCTCACAGCCTGCCTTTCGTTCTGCTCCTTCAGATCTCTGTCCTCCGTCAAGCACATGCTTGTAATTTACTGAAAAATTGTGGAGTTCTCTATTTTCACGAGAAAGGCAAGACCCTGTCTCAGGTTCTTGCCAATACAATGACTTCCTGGATGCTCACAGCAGATATTCCTTTAGACAGATAAACCTCGGTGGCTATGGATAGCATTGCTTCTGAGTCCTGTTGAACTATGGTAACAGTGTAACACAAGACACCACAGTGTTAACTATTTCTTCAGACTCCTGTGGAGTGGACCAAGAACCCGTTTGGCAACATTAAAGTCCAGATCTAAAGGCATGTTAACACACAGATGGGTCCTTTCATTCAAGTCAGAGCTGAAGAGTTATAATACGAAACAAGAGCAAGTGAGGACTCAGCCTTCCCAGCAGTCAGAGCCTCCCACACTGAGGCTGGAAAGGGACATTTCAAGTCAGATTCCAGATACCATTGATTTTGTTTTTCAGTCTGAATTGCAGGACAATTTGTTATAATGCTGCATGCCTACATCGGTCTTAATTATCTCAAAGACATCTAATAGACTTAATGAAACTGCTGAACAGACTTCCATCAATTAGTGGCCCGACATCTTCCTGTTTTCTGTTTTAGCACTGATGTTTAGTCAGTTGTTTGGGCAGTTCTGGTATATTCCACAGAAACTGACAACTTACCTGAATCAGTTGTTTGGTATGTTCCAGCACATTCTAGAACACAGAAAACTTAGTCAGTACATAAACAAATGTGCAGGACCAAGTTGAAAGTGGATCGCTGGAGGCCTGGGAGGTGACTCCGCTGTACTCGGGTGCAGAACCATTTCCTGCCTATATTATGTTCAGTTAATAACTTCTGTACTCTTAAAATCGATTTGGTCAGCAACGCTTGCTACTGTCCCTTAGTTACTCAAAAGCTAAGAGAGCGAAAAGGGAGCATGCTGCCTGCCTGCACAAAGCGACAGACCCGGTGCTGCACGTGCGCATGCCTGATGTCAATTTTAGCTTAAAAACTGCGGGCACGGCTGAATTTTCTGTGCTTTTGTGTGTGGTGCGTTTTTCTTTGTCTAAGAAGGGATGGAAGGAAGGTATTTGAGAGTTTGTAAATGAAAGAAGAATATTTCTTTTCGAGGCTGTGTTTTTGATTTTCCGTTTGTGTCTGTGTTGGTATGTGCATGGGATCATGGTGCGAGTGGAGTGAGGAAGAGGAGGTCAGATCACCTGGAGCCGGAGTTACAGGCAGTCGTGAGCTGCTAGATAGAAGGTTCTGAGAACAAAGCCTGGGTCCTCTGCAAGAGGAGAATGCTTTTAACCAGCGGGCCATTTCTCCAGCCCTAGAGAAAGTACATTTAGATACCTTTTCTACTTGTGAGTAATGCTTGCTTGGAAAGCTTCCTGGATGCAATCTTAGTAAATAACCCTGCATTGTTCTACTGCACTCATAATGCAAATTACTTATACAATTTCTAAAACATAAAGCAATACTTGTTTTAGATCAGTGACGAGAACATTCAAGTTTGTTAGTTGATATTTAAGTCTTCCTATGCAGAAGACAGAGTTTATACAGTGAGTTGGGCGATACCCAAGACAACGTGGCCAGATTTGCCTGTGACAGCCTGGGGATGCCTATGCCATCCCTCTGTGCTATATGATGTTGGGGACACAACATTCTTTTCCCCTTGTTTCCAGTGTGGCCACCATTCAACAATGGAAATGATGCAAACATCTCTAAGAGGCAGAGAATTTCATGGGCTGCTAGAAACACTAATAATGCTTAATATCACACACTGAGAGCTTTCCTTTTGTCTATTTATTCCTCCTAGAATTTGGAAAGAGGGTAGGCCAGGGGTGTGTGTGTGTGTGTGTGTGTGTGTGTGTGTGTGTGTGAGTGTGTGTGATATGTATGCATTGTGTACATATTTGGGCACACATGTGTTAGAGTATGCATGCACATATGTGTGCATACATGAGATGGCCATAGTTTGACACTAGGCATCTTTCTCTTTCATTTGCCATCTCATTTATTTATAATTTAATTTTATTCTTTGAGAATTTCATACATGTATGCAATGTATTTCAATCACGTGTCTCTCCAACCCCAACTCCTCTGAATCCTGCCTCACTCCCTTTTTTCAACTTCACATTCTCTCTTTTTTCAGTCTGTTGTTCAATATTTGCGATGAATAAATACACGAATGTGGGGTATCAACTAGAGCATGCCCCCCTCTCTCTCTTTTGTTCTGACAGTGTCTCATTGAACCCAGTGATCACACATTTAGCTGGGCTAATCAGTGAGCTTCATGGATCTGCCTGTCTCCACTCCCACCCCACCCAGTGCTCGAGTTCCAGACCTATGACACTATGCCTGCGTGGGGGCTAGGGATCTGAACTTAGGTTCGTAGGCCTGAGCAACAAGTTCTCCACACACCAAGCTATCTCCCCAGCCCTATCCCACCTTATCCTTAGGCCTAGAATGTTGTGTATGCAATAGTACTGGGACTTTGTACATTGAGGCCTGTGGCATGTGGTCAATTATTCATCCTCCATGGTCCACCTTCATTCTGCCTGTCTTAGGCTGACTCTATCTTCTTCCTGGGTAAAAGGCCCAGGTCTTAGCAAACATTCTCAGAGTCAAGTCATTATAGAAGAATAGACTGGCATTAGTTGACTACAAAGTAAATCATCTGACTTCTGGGAAACTGAGGACTAGCTGGGGGGATTTGGGTTTTGAATTGTGGGAGCAGAGGAATGGAGTCTGGAATGGTTTTCAGGTGGCGATAGTGAAGACAAACTCCATCACCTGACGTTCTTCAGCTAAATAAAGCAAACCCAGGCTTTTGGGATTTTCAAATGAACTCTCTCCATGTCTGCTTCTTTGCTAGGTACTTCCTGGCCAGTAGCTGGAGTTCTGAAGCAACATGCCAGAACAGAGCAATGACTACCGGGTGGCCGTGTTTGGGGCAGGTGGTGTTGGCAAGAGCTCCCTGGTTTTGCGGTTTGTCAAAGGGACCTTCCGGGAGAGCTATATTCCGACTGTGGAAGACACCTATCGGCAGGTGATCAGCTGTGACAAGAGCATATGTACCCTGCAGATCACCGACACCACCGGGAGCCACCAGTTCCCCGCCATGCAGCGGCTGTCCATCTCCAAAGGCCATGCCTTCATCCTGGTCTACTCCATCACCAGCCGGCAGTCCCTGGAGGAACTCAAGCCCATCTACGAGCAGATCTGTGAGATCAAGGGGGACGTGGAGAGCATCCCCATCATGCTGGTAGGGAACAAGTGTGACGAGAGCCCCAACCGTGAGGTGCAGAGCAGCGAGGCGGAGGCCCTGGCGCGCACGTGGAAGTGTGCTTTCATGGAGACATCGGCCAAGCTCAACCACAATGTCAAGGAACTCTTTCAGGAACTGCTCAACCTGGAGAAGCGCAGGACCGTGAGCCTCCAGATCGACGGCAAGAAGAGCAAGCAGCAGAAACGGAAGGAGAAGCTCAAGGGCAAGTGTGTGGTCATGTGAGAGGCTTCCACGTAGAAGGAGCTGCTGCCCTTAGGGCATCTCTCTTCCTCCCCCCCACCCCCTGTGAACCCCACTGTTTCAGGGCAGCATGTCTGATGCCCATGTGTTAAACATTGCATTTGGCTGTGACACACCCTGCAGTGTCCTCAAGAGGCATTCCATCCCCCCCAGCAGCCCACCCCTCAGGAGTTGCCAAATCTGCGATGCTCTCTGCATCCCTGGAAACCGAGGCCAGTCCTGAGCGGGCTTCAGCCATTTGAAGGCGAGGGGACTCAGAGCTGTGGACACAGGAGAAACGGAGAGTACTGTGTAATGCATGTGTGTGTGTGTGTGTGTGTGTGTGTGTATGTGTGACAGCAGGTTAGCCCTTAGCTACTGGTACCATCCCACACCAGAAAACGTAGTTCAGAATCCACTAACGTCTTTGGGGAAGGAGCAGGCAGTCAAAGGAGGCGAGACACCAGTGGGTCCAGCGTGGACCTGTGGACCCTAGTGGGTCCTGTCAATGCATTTATAGTGGGATTAAAGACAAAATACCATAGCCCCCTCCAAATGATGCTCATGTTGTTCCTACTGACACATAATGAAGGGATGGATGCCCTCACTCCCTCAAAGTCTCCTTACAAGTACCATGTCAGTCTGTCATTTGTACACACTTCACATGCAAGGCAAGGACACACGGCATGATGCTGTGCCAGCACTTCTTCAGGTTTTGGGGCAGGACATTGTGACATCATGCAAACATCGCAATAACACCCCCGTGTGTGTGTGTGTGTGTGTGTGTGTGTGTGTGTGTGTGTGTGTGATATACTTTGAGGGTCCTAGAAACATGAACTTCCTTTCTTTTGACCTTCAAGGGTGGCCACTTCTCCCAGCCCTCAGATTTTTAAATAAAAGCAAATAAAGTAGGCATTTTTTAGACTCCCACCTTCCCCTCCCTTAAGATGGCTTTCTTGTCTTAAATAACTCCGTGCGTACCCAGCTGGGAAACGGACAGCCAAGAGCATCTAATAACCAAAAGCACACCCATTTTTCTAAACGACATGAGCCTGCAGATGCTCTGCGCTGCCCCTCAATGAAATACTCAGAAACAGACGTCATTCACTGTGTTTTTAACAACTTATCTATATTGGAAGTAGATCGCTAGAAGATGCATTTAATTAATAGTAATCTCCCCCCTCCCGTTCCTTGTTAAATGTCCTTAAGTTCCTCAGTGTGGTGTGCACCCTGGAACAGGTCCTTTCCTAATGCCTGTGTGTGTATTCTGGATTCTTCCGAACAAACCAGCCATGGCTTGAGGCAGCAGAGGCCATGCCAGCTGCAGATAGATCGCTCTCTCTTTTCTGGGCACAATGCCCTCAGCTTAGTCCAATTTGCCTGCCATCCTGGAGTCTGTCTGGGTTTTGGTTCTTGAAAATTCTTACTCCCACAGCCAATGAGAAGGAGCTCCTGTCTCACCTGGTGGGACAAACCCATGCTTGCCTCAGGTGCTGGCTCAGCCATTCTCTTAGCCATCTTACCGTTGACCAGTCGGCAGGTAGAGAGGACTGCAGCACGGGGAGGCCTATATAGTGGCCCCATGGCCTCTGTGCAGAGCTCCCGATGCTGGCATGTTGTGGTAGGCCTCTTGTTCCGTGTATGCCTCCAAAGCACACTGTATTCAAACTCCTTTGTTTCCTCCAGGCCTCTAGAATTCAGTCTCCTTGTCTGACCTGGCCCACTCTGCCCTGTCAATCATAGCTCACCCTGGCAATATGCTGAGGGTTGGGAAGGTCCCTCAGGATACCGTATGACTCAGTAATCTTACCATTTCTGTGGACTTCTAAAACAAAATCCTTGGAAACCTGGGTGAGCAGCCACCCTGAAAAATGAGGAAGCTCAGGAGTCAACCATGAGCTCAGACTCATTCTGGGCCCCCTCCGAGTCTCTTCTGTTGGCTCTTTCTGTTCCCTAAAGCCATTCCCTATTCCAGGAAGATTGAGCTGTGGAGTTTTTTGTTGTTGTTGCTGCTGTTGTTTTTTGAATGTCTGTAATCTGTTGTTCCATTTCTTCCTATTTCTGTTCTCAGAGTAAATGTGTCAACTTGCCATTTGGGTGTGAGATTAGTGAAGGAAAGGCCATGACTCCGTGGCTGACATAGGATATATATATATATATTTGTGGTGATCCCTTCACACTTAGTAAAATCCTGCCTCTCTCACTGACAGGAGCCACTTTAGGTGGAACGTTGCTACAAACTTCGCTATTCCCAGCGACCACATCAGGGCTCTTTGAGATCCTTAAGTCAGTGTCCATATTCCTAAGTATTTTGTTCTTCATCGCCATGAGAATCTTGTGGTTATTCCGTTCACAGTCCTCGTTCCTTTCTGTTCTGCCTGTGAGTTTAGAGGTTGGGAGGCTGCTAAAGCCTCCCTCGCTGGGCTTCATTCAGACACTGCTTTTCTCCTCTCGGTTGAGCTGAGCCCTGGGCACCTATCTCGACATCTCTTTCTGCACATGTCCCTCTGACTCAGGAGCTGAGGGTGCGGTACTACTGGGCAGTGGCTTTCAGCCTTGCTCTGGTCCCATTCCAAGTCATAAAGCTGAGATTCTTGGTGACATCCTACGTTGTACACGGGACTGGAACCTTCTGATCCAGCCCCAGCTCATTATAAAACTTGAAGTATTGCTTTGAAGATGGCACTCTGGGGTTAAGCACGGGGCTCCATGAGTTCCCTAATCCCCACCAGTCCCCTCTCCATTCAGTGACAAGCCATGGGCATGCATCCAATGCATCAAGTCCAACAAAGAGCAATATCCAATTGTCCACTAGATCTAAAATTATATATATTATGTAATTTATCTTCCTGCACTTTTGAAGTATAAAGTAGTAAATTGTATATATATCTATCTCTATATATCCATAAGCTAGTATATCTGTTTCACTATTTGTAATATTTGAGAACTGCTCATTCTTTGTAGAACACAAAAAATGTATTAAATATTTTAAAATTGCGCTGTGATATTCCTCCCTGCCCCAAGTTTGTAAAGTGTTGGTCCTACACAAGCCGTCTGGAAAGGCCATAGCCAAAGGGGCGTGCGGAACTCCTACAGGCCACATCCTGGGATTCCGTAGCCCACAAAGACTTTGTGTCAATCAGATACCTGCAGAGAATGACCGCTGGCATGCGATGCCGGCACAGGCTCCCACATCAGGTACTCGCTCTTCTGGCTTCATACTTGGTTATGTCTGACAGATTCTATGGTTAAGAAGATCATCTCACACAAGGTCCTAGCTGCAGTGATGACCCCAACCCATGGAACCAGTTACAATAAAGCTCAGTTATGACACTGGCTGGAAAGAGGCTTGGGCTTTTATTTTGTGTATGTGCATGCGTGTGTGTGCCTGTGGAGGTCAGAGGCCAACCCCAGGTGTAGTTTCAGGAGCCAACCACCTTTTTGAGACAGTGTCTATGATAAGAACCTGGAGATAGTCAATTGTACTGTCAGCTAGGGAGCCCCAAGGATCATCCTGCTTCCACCTCCTTGTTACTCCTGTCCAGATTTTTAAAAACCAAAACCATAACCCATAGGTTCTGGGTTCAGATTCAGGGTTTCAAGTTTGCACAGCACCTATATTAACTACTAAGCTGTCCCTTCTGCCTCAAGATCGCTCCCTCTTTTTTTTTTATAACAGAATAAATGTGAGGTAATGTTTTTAAGTTTAAATTGATGAGCTCCAGATGGGAGGGAATGATCAAGCACTTTTTTTTTTTAACAGCAGAAAGACACTTAAGCCACACACACTGCGACACAGCGGTTCCAGGTGTGTTTCTGTGTCCCACCGTGCCTGCCTGGGTTTTTATGTGGGTGTCTGAGGATCTGATCGTGGGTCCTTGCCCTTTGCTGACTTAACCATCTGCACTTTTACTTGCTCCCAGTTTTTAAGGGTTAATCTGACTGGCATGGCATGGACCAGCTGCTCTGCAAGCTGCAGTCACGTGACCTTGGAGGATTGTGGACTTTAAGCCCATCTTGAATAGAAACAGAAACCTCCCTGGATGTTTCCTAGGATGTTTTCCTCATTGGTGGAAAGGAAGGAGATACCCCAGGCAAGGACAGGGGAGAGGGAAGGGGGTAAGACATGAATAAAACAGCAGGGCAGGCAAATTTTTTTTTATTCCTTTTTAATTCTGTACAACCCCTCCCTTCAGGCAATTAAGTAAGGACAAAGCCCCTAGCATTTGTTCCTGGGCTTGGTTCCTGCCTCCTCTTCATTCTTCTTACTCTGCAGACTGTGAAATAAAATGCAACTTTTTCAGAACTAAGAAGAGGACAAGAAATGATAGCCCTAATTCTGCCACTGACTGAGCAACAATGCTTGGTTTACACTCTGTGGTTCTGCAGAATGAGGCTTATCAGACTCTGCAAAGTGGATATGAGGTTCATTGAAAGACTACACAAAGCTCTGGGTGCTGGCTTGCCACATCTGAGCCTTCGGAAGAAGCAAGCAAACCCTGTCCAGGGCTACCTACTATTTGAAGGTCTGCAGTGTAAAGTTTGACCTGTGCAGAGAGAAAAATCACAGAACCTTTACTGTTTAGAAGTCCTTTGAACAACCTTCTGGCCATGCTGTCTGCACACCACTCCCTACAGTTCCTGTCTGCTTTGCAACACCCCTTCCCATCTCATAATTATTGCTATTTTATCCAGCTATTCCTATCTATTGAGGTAACAACAATGAGCAGGTCCGCTTGGTTCCCCATAGTGAAAAGATACATTGGCTGCCAGTTACAAAGGTCTTGAGACTCAGGAACATCCCACTGCAGCTGCAAGAGATGATGTCCTTGCAGCCTTAATTAGTAGAAGAACTTTGTGTCCTCAGATGACGAGACGTTATTTTCACACTAGTCATCTCCAGGCACCACTGGTGAAAAACTTAAATTGGGTTCACAAATCAAGAACATATATATATATATATATAATGTTTTAATGGAAAAGTTTTACTGGCTAGACCTTAATTAAGTCAAGCAGGGAATTAAATTACCCAGAACACTCAAAGAATTGAAGACGTCTCTTAATTGACATTTGTTTTCCTAATCACCTTTGAGTAAATGAGCTTTGCCGGGTCTTTGGAGCAGGGCTCTGCTTTCTGTTGGAGGCAGTTCAGCCTTTTCAGGTGGAGTAAGAGAATAACGTCAGAGTTGTAACTGGGGCAGAGTGATTCGCCAGTTCCCTCAACCACGGTTGAAAGTTAGGAATCATCTCTTTGGATTGGGTGAGGCCCACAAATACTTACACAACTTAGCGCCATACTGTCCCAGAGTGAGCTCTCCATGCGCACGCAGCATTCCCTGGAGAAAGAGCTGTTCCAGGCAGAAGCTGGAGATGGTCCCCTCCCAGGCACTCACCATCAAAGCCGAAGCCTCCCTTTCCTTTTCTGTCTTCGAGGCAGGCTGGGCTTTCCGCTAATCAATGAGGACTTGCCTTGCACACGTGGTCAGGGATTGCTCTGCTCGGATCTGTCTTTTTTAGGTCACATTTTCACTGCTTCTCTCCGCGCTCCAAATCCAGGCTGCCTGCTTCCATTCACACATCGCCCGAAATAGCTGCTCTCAGGAAGGGCTAAATATAGGAAGCCTGAGCCTACCATTTACCTTCCCATTAAGGAAGCCTTCATTTTGAGTTCTCTACGGTGATGGCGTGTGGTGAGCTCCTGCTCCCGGTGCCAGGACAGATCCCTAGATGTCAAAAATGTCTCTTGCTCCAGATGCCGGGTGAGCCAGGACCAGGGGAGACAGCTGAGGGATGGAGACTTCCTAAAGGTCCTTTTCCCTCTATCATCAACAGAGGCTGTGATGGGCAATGAGTGTCACCCACCAGAAAGTCCACGCTAGGTTAGTGTAGCAAAATCTCCAAGACAAAGGCTGGGGTGAGGTTTTATAGTTGGGTTATGAGGAATTCCTTTGGCAGCCCAGCGGACCTGGAGATGTCTCTGTGCTTTTCCAGCTGGTTTGCAGGTGAAAGCAGTCAAGAGTGGAGAGCCCACAGGCAGAAGGCAAAGATGAGCTAATGAATGCCAGCCAGGCCAATATTCCATATGGGAGGCCTTATCTTCTATAATATCGTGTATTATATTCTATAATATTATCTTCTATAATATCCTGTCAAGTTTGTGTTCTGGAATAACAACTGCTCAGTACACAATCTAGCCACAGTGACACATACTTATAATTCCAGCGCTGGAGGGCCAAGACAGGAGGATCATAAATTGGAGGCGAGCCTGAGCTACAGAGTGACACCCTGTTTCAAAAATCCAACCAAATACACCCCTATACAAAACAGAGAGAGAGAGAGAGAGAGAGAGAGAGAGAGAGAGAGAGAGAGAGAGAGAGAGAGAGAAATCTGCTTGTGTGCGCTGGCCAGAGTCCCACCTCATGGGACTGTTGGAAGAGGTTCTCCCATATTCAGTTCTTCGACCTGCACGCCAGCGTCTTCAGGAGGCATTCTCGCAGACATACTCAGGGGATTGCTTTCTCAACCCTTTCAGCATTCCTCAACCCTGTCAAAATACCATCCTGCTGGGCAGTGCTGGCGCACGCCTAGAATCTCAGCACTCAAGAGACAGAGGCACCAGATCTCAGATCTCTGAGTTCAATAGCAGCCTGGTCTGTAGAGAGAGTTCCAGCTAGGGAAAAACAGAGAAACCTTGTCTCGAAACACACACACACAGAGACACACATCATCATCATCATCATCATCATCACAACTGGAAACTCAAAGTGGTTTTCGGTTTCTCTGTCAGACTCTACCCACCTGGAATCCGTAATCTTAACTGAGATGTTCATTTATAAAGAAGAGAGAAAAGTCTATGCAGAGTAGGAAATAGGACGCCAGAGGGTGTGAGACCAAGAAACAGGTCCCAACATGGCACGAGAAGGGTGGTGCCTGCTCGCCAATCGCTCCTCTCATTACAGCACATTCATTGTCATTTGGTTCCAGTTATTTCTAATTTTACACAGTATTCACTTGTTGTGGGTTTAGACAAGAACAGAAGGTCAAAATCTCATGTTTTTGAGTAAGATCTTGGAGGCAAGAGGATCCTAACAGGTAGATAGAGAAAAAGTAGTTTAGCTCGTTGTTAAAGAAAAGGAGGGGTAGGTAGGGATACAGCTCAGTTAGTAGGGTGCTTGCCTAGAGTTAAAAAAACCTGCATTTGTCCTCAGCACTGCATAAACCGGGTAGAGAGGTGCGCCCCAACACTTAGGAGGACCAGAAACCCAAGATTTCTCTGACACCTAGGGAATTTGAGGCCAGTTTGGTCTACATGAGTGCCTGTCTCAGAAAAACCGTAAGAACCAGAAAAGACAGGGAAGAGGTGGGAAGGATGAGGTAGGTTATCCTAAGATGTTCTGAGGTAGCCAAAGCTGGAATAGTGCCCAGGAGAAGAGAAGCAATCTAAATATTAAAACCTGTTGCCATGACAATTAGTCAGAGGGTGCTGAGACCATTTTTCAAAAGAAGAATCCTAGATTATGTGAAAGAACAAACACAACTTCCACATTGTCTGATTCTGCAAGGTGTGATTAAATGGCATTTAAAGTTTTGTCTGTGATATCTGCTTCATTAGGAAGTATGGAGAGAAAAATAGGAGCCCCAGTTAACAGTCATAGGTACTTGCCAAAATCTGACGAAGCTTGATTTCTAGGTTTCCTTTCTTTATGACAAAAAGAAACAAAACACAGGAAGGGAAAACTGATCAAGCACTATATTATTGTCATTGCTGGGCCCAAACACTTGAACAAAAACAATTTAAGGGGTGAAGGTCAATTTTGATTTACAGTTTGAAGTTATATAGTCCATCATGACTGGAAAAGTGTGATCATCACAGAAATGTGGGAAGTTGGTCATACAGCGTCTGAAGTCAGGAAGAAGAGGGCACATAGAAAGTGGGACCGAACAATCCAACATGCTTCCTCCACTGAGGCTCCCCCTCCTAAAGGTTCTACCACCTCCCAACCCAGTATCCCACCGCTGCAGGCCAGATGATCAAATATGGGAGCCAATGCGGGAGCACTTCATTGGAAAGCTACAGCAGACACAAAACTCAGAGACACAGACACAGGACTTCTAGAAATAATAAGATTAGTAACCAAGGATTTGTTGTGTGTGAACATTGTCTTGCTCTGTAAGCTCCAAATTTCCAGGAACCTATGCTATATGTGGGATTTTTCCTGGGAAGACATCATACACATGCACGCAAACAAACACACGGTTACACATCCTTGAAAGGGAACCCCGAACAGATCAGAGTAATAACTACATCAAAGTTTAACTTGGAGGACTCCTGAGTT